AATCTTCCCCGGTACTGAGGTCAGGCTGACAGGTCTGTAGTTCCCCGGATCCTCCTTCCAGCCCTTCTTGAAGATAGGCCCCCTGTCAATTAGCAGTCAGTCCTTGGTACCCTACTTACTTTAGTGTTATTCATATTTTTCTTCTGAAATGTTATGCTGTCTTGAAATGCTATGTTGTTCTGGTGAACTGACTTGCAATCGTTTCAGCCAATCCAGTTCCCTGTTAGGTACTTGGTGCAATTTTGACCAACCAATTTTGCAAAGACCAATGCTCACTGTCCAGCTCTGCCGCCTCATGCCACAGAGCTTGCTTTGCTGTCAGCAGCATCCTGCGGGTCTCAGGAAGGCAGGCAATGAACCTGGGAGCTGCTCGAAGGAAGCTGGCACTGGTGACTGCCGGGAGCCAAACTGTCTCCAGGAAGACACTGCCCACACAGGCACACAGCCCAGCAGCAGCAACAGCAGGTCCATGCTGGAGTTACCAATTAATCCCTCTTCTTGAGATGCAGTAAATAAATCAGCTTCAGAGTTCAAAAGCAGACACTGAATATTCATTTGCTACCTTCTAAAAATTGCTGTGAAGTGAATGAGTAGATGAAGCTCATGCACCATCACTGGTGTGCCATTTGGGAACCACTGTCCTCAAAAAAAGACCCCAAAACACCAAGGTATTTTAAATATGCATAATATGTCAACTTTGGCAAACTAAGGGAGGAATAAAATTCACCAGTGGGTAAAAAGATTAACGAGTTTCTCCTTCCTTTCCTTTGAAACTTCTCTCCTCCTCTTTCAGCTTGCACAACGCACTCCTCCAGCCTACTTCACCAGAGAACCCAGCCAAAGAGCCTGCCCCTCGTACCTCTAGTACCTACTCCAACCACTCACTAATGATGCATCCCATCTCAGGCATTAGACACCAAATACACTCTGCAAATTGTGTGAAACCTTTTAAAGCCTCCCACGCTTCCAGATTTTTTTGTGGCCGTATTTTTTTTTTTTTGCTTTGCAAACAAGGAAACCAATATGCAAATTCTCCCGCGCTGCTTCCTAACCCAGCTCTGCTGGAAACCCACAAAAGCGCTGGCTTTCAGATTTTGAAGGGAGATGAAGGAGAAGGTGAAAAGGAAACAAAGGAGGGGTCACCACTCAGAGGTGCTCTTCACTTCAGGGCTACATGAGATACTAAAATACCCTATTTTTTTAGCAGTTATTAAGGTCAGCTAATCTCAAGATTGAAGAATTGTTTTTGGCAGATCAGATGCTCATGAATCTTGCTGAAAGTGCTGCAATGCCCATTGGGGTATTAAATATTTATCTCCGCAAGCTTTTAAAATATAGATTTCTACTGTGCTAGAAGAAAGAAAGGCTTCTTTTACAAGTATTTCCATATTATATTGAGTAGCAGAATACTAGGAAAAACATTTTCTAAATCATCTTAAGAGAGGTGAAGAAGTAAAAATATACACTAAGTATATTGTTTCCTCATTACTCTTCATATCCCAACTACATCTGCCATTTATTAGCTGCTTTCCAAACACAAAGATAAATAGAGTCCTTGCACTGAACAGAGTATACCTCAAGAAGGCAAAAAAATGGTGAAAGACAATCAGTTCAAGTTGACAGCAGATAAGTCTCTTATTAGTAAACATGGTGAACTGTTTTGGTATTTCTTTCCTGGCCGTTTTTATACTGTCTGTTAAATTCTCCAGTGGTGGCGTCCACTTTACTTCCTTCCCTTCCCAGCCCTGTCATGACAGTAGAGCGAGTTGAATGGGACACTCTTGTCCATCCCACATATTCCTCTCCATGTGAAGGGCTTGGCTTCCTTCCCTGCTTCCAGTCCCTCTCTGTGCTTCCAAGCCAGGTAGATGTGAGAAACCCTGTTGGCTTCTGGCACCTGGCAAGTTTTTGTTTGTGTGTTTTACAAGAAGCACTCACCATAAACCAAATGAAATGCTTCAGAACAGTTCCATCAAAACAAACTGATTTCCCAAAGACTTACTACCATCAAAAAAACCTGTCAATAAAACCCAGGAAGACTTAACACCCCACCACAAAGCAACACAATGCCTATGTACCTGAGGATATACAAACAAGAAACATTCTTTTGCTCAAAATACATTTAAAGACCAAAACCCTTCTATTTCTTTGTTGGCTCTAACTGAATACACATGCTGGCATGACTCAGAAGTGATGGCAGACCTTCGTGCAGATTTCATAGCACTACGAAATACAAGGACTCAGAATAACATGTGATACATACCACGGTTCCTTTATCATGAGCAAAATAGATAACAGAAGTATATATACATACCCCTATGGGGCGGGCAGTGGAAGTGTGTGCATGCATGCCTGCATCCCCCTCACTCTGTGTATTGCCAGTAATTGTAGATCTCTCTTATAAAGGATCTACTTCATGCT